CTGGGTATTTAAACCAAAGACTTGAAAATATATATCCAAAAAGGTATTTACACACAAATGTTCATAGCAGCATTATTCTTGGTGGCCAGGACTTGGAAGTAACTGAAGTGTCCTACAATAGGTGATTGGATAAGAAGATGCGGTTCTCATATACAATTGAATATTACTCAGCCATAAGAAAAGATGAAATACTGCCATGGACATGGATGGACCTTGAGATAATCATGCTAAGCAAAATAAGCCAGACAGAAAAAGTTGAAAACTACCTGATATCACTTATGTGTGGGATATAAACCTAAAAGCAACAAATGAACAGGACAAACAAGCAGAGACTCATGGGCATGGACAATAGACTAGTGGTTACCAGAGGGGAGGGGGAGGGGGAAGAGGGGTGGTAGATGGGATTAAGGGGGTCAAATATGTGATGAGAGAAAGAAATTAACTATGAGAGGTGAACACAGTGTAAACATAATATACCTTACTGTCTAAGTGTATAGTTGAAACTTACTGGATTTCATTAACCAATGTTATTAAATTAATTAATTAAAAATAAAAACTAATAACTTAAAAACTGCCACACACAAACCCAAATGGTCCACAAAAGATGCTCCTTTCTTTCTGAAGGTTTTGGGATGCATTGTAATCATTAAATAGTCTTTTACTATTAAACTTAAATGGCCAATTGGACAAACAATTTTGCATTTGTTCTTCTACCATCGATTACGACTGGGGTGGCCGTCTAGTCTGTCGATGAGCCCTTCAAAAGTATTCATTTCTGTTACAATTTTTGGTTGCTAGTATTTCTTTTTTTATTATTTCTTAAAGTTTTCATCTCTCTGCTTGTATTACCCATCTGATCTTGCATGCCGTACATTTTTTCCTTAGAGCCCTTAACATACCAATCATAGTTGCTTTAAATTCCCAATTTAATAATTATAACTGACATCTCTGAGTCTGGATCTGATGCTTCTTTCTCTTCAAAGTCTTAATTTTTTCTTTTAGTATGCTTTGGAATTTCCTGAACACTAGACATGATGCACTGGGTAAATGGAACTGGGGAGAGTAGGCCTTCAGTGTGAGGTTTTATGTTTATCTGACTAGAAATTAGGCCATGTTTACTGTTTGCTGTAGCTGTAGGTATTAGAGCTAAAATTTCCTCTGGTGTCCTTGTTTTTGTCTTCTCTGTTGTCTTTGGGGTTTCCTAGAAATAAATTAGGTCTGAGAAGTGCAGTTTTTTCCATTGTATTCACCTGTCATTATACAGGGGCCCTACTGATGTGATAGTAAAGAAGAGAAGTGTTCTATAGTTCTGTGGTTAAGTCTTTAGTAAACCTGTGACCTTAACAATTGCTTTTCTGTTTGGATTTTTTCCCCTTATGTGAAACAGGAAGGCAGAGGGGGCTAGAGTTGGACATTTCTTTTTCTCTAAGTCAGTTAGGTTCTGGTAAAACCAGAATAAGTTAGGTTCTGGTAAGTGTTTCCCTTGAGGACAAGCCTTGTTAAGAATAGAATACTCTGGTTATCTCAAAATGTGTCTGCTTTTCCCCTTCCTCTCCCAGAAGCACAAGGTCTTTTTTTTCTAACCTTCACTGTGAGAACCTGGTAGGGCTCCTGGAGGTAAAGCTCATGAAAGTGTGTGGGTACCCCTAAGAATGGGCCTTCCTGAAGATTTATTAACTCTCAAATTTGTTCACATTGAGCGTCCATCAATTCATCTTTCATTTTTCCTACCCCACCTTCTTCTCCAGGGTCTGCTCCAGTAAGCTGTGATTCTCTGTGTCTGCTTGTCTGTCTCTCCAGTTACTTGGGCAGTGTTTTGTCCTGTGGCCTCAATTTTCTGATCTAAAAAGAGTTGTTTTTCAGTTCTTTCAGCTTTTTTTTTATTTTTTATTTTTTATCGTAAGGATGGTAGTGACAACTTTCAAGCTCCTTACTTGCCAGACTGGAAAATGGAAGTACCTTGCCTCTATCTATCTATCCATCTACCTACCTACTTACCTATCTAATCTATCTACCCATTCAAAAATATCAATGTGTAGTTGGCATACAATATTATATTAGTTTCAGGTATACAGCATAGTGATTCAACGTTTATATACCTTATGATGTGATTGCCTTGATAAGTCTAGTAACCATAGGTCACCATGCAAAGTTAACATATTGACATATTCGTTGTGGTGTACCTCTTATTCACCTTCACCTTTTTCACCTATCTCCACATCCCCCTCCCCTCTGGCAACCTCAGTTTGTTCTCTGTGTCAGTGGGTCTATTTCTGTTTTATTTTTTTAGATTCTATGTATGTGAAATCATATGGTATTTGTCTTTCTCTGACTTTTTTCACTTAGCATAATACCCATTTTTCACACATGGCAAGATTTCATCCTTTTTTCTTGCTGAATAATATTCTATCACATATAAATGTGTGTATGTGTGTGTGTGTATATATGTGTGTATATATATACACACACACACCTATGTAGTCCATCACATATATACATACGCACACACGTATATGTGTGTGTGTATACAGCATTCTTATCCATTCATCTGTTGATGGACAACTAGGTTGCTTCTATATCTTGGCTGGTGTAAATAATGCTGCAATGAACATAGAGGTGCATATATCCTTTTCAATTAGTGTTTTAGTTTCCTTCAGGTACATACTCAGAAGTGGAATAAAAAGAATTCCAGTTGACATCTTTTTTTCTTTCAGTACTTTAAGATGTCATTCCATTGTCTCTGACTTAAACCAGAAGTTACTTGTCATCCTTATCTTAATTTATGTGCACATAATGTGCTTTTTGAAGCCAAGCTGCTTTTAAGATTTTTTTCTTTAACTCTGATTTTTAACAGCTTGATTATAATCTGCCTTGATGGTATTTTCTTGAGGTTTATTCTGCTTTGGTTTTAGTGAGCCTCTTGGATCTGCGAATGTATAGTTTTCATCATATTTGTGAGATTTTGCTTATTATTTTTTCAGATATTGCTTGTTTCCTTTTCAGCCTTTTTCTGGGACTCTAGTTCCATGCACTGCTTGGTAGTGTCTGATTTTTTTTTTTTTTTTTCTCTCTCTCTCTCTCTGTATGCTTTATTGGAATAGTTTTATTTGCTATGCCTTTGAACTCTGATCTTTTCTTTTTCAGTGTCTATCTGATATTAATCCCATACTGTGTTTTATTATTTTTTTTAATTTCAGATATTGTTTTTACCATCTCCAGAAGTTCCATTGGGTCTTTTTTATATTTTCTATTTATCTTTTCTATTTTCTATTTCTGTTTAAACCAAATTCATGTTTTCTTCTACCTTCCCGGATATATGAAGCATGTTTATAATATGTTTTATTGTCCTTGTTTGCTTGTTCCTTTATCTCTATTATTTTTAGGTCAGTTTTTATTGATTGATTTTTCTTACGGTCTTAGGTCATGTTTTCTCTTTTTTGCATGCCTGATGTAGTAGTTATCAATTCACCCTTCATTGCCTGCTTATAATACTGGAACATTTCTCCCTTGCCAGCTAACTTGATGCTAATCTTTGTCAATGAAGGATGTTGAGGAGAAGGGGTCTCTTTTCCAGGTTCTAGGTGCTTTGATTATTCCTGTTATGTGATGTGGGCCGGCATGTGGTACACATAGGGGCACTCATACCCACTGAGGCAGCTTCATAGCTGCAAAGTCAGCAGCACTCCCATAGATGCCAGCAGTAAAGTCCTTTATATATTTGGAAGAGGGCAGGCACTGCCAGGCAAATTTCACAGGAACCCCCACTGACCTTCTGGTAGCTTTTTGGTGAGTTCCTCAATACCTCCACCTTGTGGTAATAAGCCAACTTGGTGGCTTCTCAGCACTCTCTGCAGACAGCTTCCCAGATAATTTTGTTGACATCCTTGTAGATGGTTGTCAACCCCCAGTCTTGGCCTGGGAGAGCCCAGTGAACTTCACATCCAGTGGGCTGTGACCACCCATATCCCAGATCAGAATCCTTCACTTAGGTACTTCTCTTCACCCTAGTGTATTCTGTAGAGTTCTCTTTTGTTCCCATTTAGGTAATTTTCTGTAAATAGTTAATAATTCTTTATACTAAACTTCCCTTGTTTAAAATACCATGCGATTTCTGTTTCTTGGCTGGACTCTGATGGATAGATCTGGCCATTTTCTTATGGGATGCTGGACATTGTGAATGTCTGTTGTTGGCTGCTGGGTTTTGTTATACTCCTTCAAATAGTGTTGATCTTGGTCTGGCATACAGTGAAGTTCCTTGGCATCAGTTGATCCTTATAGGATTGCTTCTGAGCTTTATTAGGGTGAGTCCAGAGCTGGCTTTGGTCCACAGCCAATTTAAGCCCCATCACTAAGGGTGATGCCCTTCTGAAGATTCTACCCAGTACCCTGTGACTTAGGAGGTCTTTCCAGATGGCTTGTGGGAACACAAAATATCCTCATCCCTGTGTGAGCTCTGAGGATTATTCTCTCTGCTCTTTTCTAGGGATTCTTGCCCTGGCCTCCTCACATAATTTCTCTCACACATGTACAAACCTGTCCTCAGCTGAAGACTCAGGGGGACCCTTTACAGATCCTGGAGCTCTGTCTGTGCAACCCCATCCCCCAACACTTTGGGCTTCCTGGGCCTCCCTACCTAACGTTGTCTCCTCCTTCAGGTAGATGGCTGGGTCTGTCTTGAGATTCCCCTCCTTGCATTGCAGCTTGGAAACTGCCTCAGCTGTAGGTGGTATAGTCATAGGGCTCAATCTCTCAGTTTCCCTTCTCTTGGAAATCACTGTCCTGCACTGTTGTCCAAGGACTGAAAACCATTGCATCATCTCTTGTCCAGTTTTCTCATTGTTCAGGATCCCTTGTACTCTATCTTGAATGAGTGTATAAACAAGTGAACAAACAAATGGAACAGCTGTCAGGAGTTTGGTGAAGTTTCAGAACAGGTGGTACCTTCTGGCTAACCTGACTGACATTGTTAACACTCCCTTTTTTCTTCTTTTTTTAACCAGTCACGGCATGAGTGGGATCAGCAAGATGGCACAGGCTGTGAGGCAGTGACATGGTGGCAGCCTGGTGTTGCCCTCCCTACCCCAGCAGGCTCGTGTTTTGTCAGCTTCTGTGGCTTTGTCACTGGTAGACTGAGGTGCCTGCGAAAATCAGTGTCTCCTGACAGGAGCCGTGTGAGGAAAGGAGCCGATCGCCTGTGATCAAAGCCCTGCCCTGCCTCCATGGCCCACCATGACTCCAGCAGTCTTCAGATGAGGGAGAGCTGGACCAACAAGGCCACCTTTCCCTGGCCTCTGACCACCTCTCCTACCTGAGGCCCCGTCCATGACTACAGCTAGGTCGAGGTAGCTGGTGGTGGCCAGTGCTGCCCTGCTACACCTCTGCACTTGAGGAGGAGCACTGACCTGTTACTGGCAGCTGTGCTACCATGCAAGTTGCCGGGAGGGAAAGCCAGCCTCACAAGGTAAGTGGAGTGTTCTAAAGTTGTATAGAAGCGGAGCGAGAACCAAAGCTGCTTCCCAGAGCCCAGAGCCTGAAATTCTCAAGGAAGTTGAGGTCTCTGCAGCTGCTTTTCCTGTCTTCTCCTGAGAGTGCTTTCTTGTTCCCACAGCTGGGACTCTATGCACCTTAGGCCTCTCCCTAGGCTTCTGAGAGAAGAATGGAGGCAGGGCCCTGTGTCTGCCCATAATCGGATGCCCAGCACAGGGTGGCCTTCTGGGCACCCCCCTCAGTGGGGCAGGATAAGCACAGCATCCTTCACTGACTACGGGCCTGACAAGGCAACTGTCTTGGAGGATAGTTAGAGGGAAGGCTGAGGCACTATGGGAAGATGGTTCAGTGGGAGCCTTCCTCCTCACACACCTGAGCTCCCCACAGGGTCTCACTGCACATGTTGCCACCTCCAAAAGAATTCAGCTATAGGAATATTGTAGCTTATGATTTCCCATGGTGGTGCAGGGAGAAGCACTCAAGGAAGCTTGGGGACTCTAGTGTCCTCCCCACTGGCAGGGCTACATCACCTCTGTGTCCAGCACTCTGAGGTGCAGAGATGCTCAGAGCATGGAAGGTGAGCAGAGGGTGAGGAACTCATGGACATGGTGACAAAGGGATGTGGGGCAGACAGTGGGACCATCCTTCCCCAGCTGGCCCATCTAGGAAGGAGTGGGTGGCGTTGGAAAAGGCACTTGAGACTCAAGTGTGAAGCTTCGTAGTGAGAGCTGAGGTGGGGCAACACCATCACACAAGTTTTGGCCTCTGGGGCCATTTGCCCCCGTAATCTCCATGGAGACCCCAATTCCTCTCCAAGGTCTCCTGTCCAGCAGTCTTCAACCTTTCTCCTGGGACCTCTATGACAGAGCAGAGTGGTTCTGAACTCTGCTTTCTGGCCAGGCTTTACTTGAGTGATGCTCTGAGGGCTCCTTAGCCCACAAGGTACCTCTCTCCCCTGCTGTTAGGAGCTGTAGCTTTGGTGCTCCCTTATCACCCTCAGTTACAAGCCTTTGTTCCACCAAGATTTAGGACATGGAGGCTGAGGAGCCTGGCCCAATGACAGAAGCCTGTCCCTTCACTCATTCATCAGAGAACCAAGTCAGCTCCCCTTGTAGGAGATGCTCAAACTTAAATGGGGACAACCAGCCCAGCTGAAGAGGGTCGGGTGAATCTAAACCTGTTGTTCTGTCATGAGTACCCGTCTGACGTTCATCCTTTCATTCAGCAAGTACTTGGTGAGCACTCACTAAGGGTCAGGCCCTGTTTAGGTGCTGCTACATAAGTCCTAGGTCTCATGGGACTTATGGTCAGTGGGATAAGACTGACTGTAACATTGTACGTTAGATTGGTGGTAAGAAAAAAATAAACAAGATAAAGGAGATAGAGTGGTGGGACAAAACATGCTACTTTAAGTGGGATGCTATGGTAGAGTGACATCTGGGCAGAAGCTTGAGTGAAGGCGGGGACAAACACTCTGGAGGCAGAGTGCTCCAGTAGGGGAACAATGTGAAGGCCACGAGGCAGGAGCCTGCTTGGGAAACATGGTTCAAACTGTCATTATGAAACAAACTATAGATAAACCCCACGGCTGGTTCTGGGCAGGAAGTACACTGGTTAACTTGCAGTTCTCGTCAGAAATCAGCATTGCCCATCTGGCCAAGGGGGCAGACAGTATGCAGCCCTGGCACTGGCAGTCCGCAGGCCTCAACACTCTTTATCCAAGAGTGGAGGAATAGACCTGAGCTGAGGACAGATGTTTCTGTTCTCTGAGGAACCATAGGATGAACTTTTAAAATGTAGAATTGCCATGTCCTGGCACTGTGCTATCTTTACTTTAAGGACTGGGCTGTTGAGGACAAATAGCATAGGATTCGAGTGAACACACAGACTCTTGGTTGCACAGAGGGGAATGGTCTGGGTCCCTTCGGGCTTTCTCATTGGCTGTATATCTCTGCACAGAACATTTGTAGCTCAGAGATGTCCACGTGACCTATGCTAGTTGGACCAGCTTGCCTAGTTATAAACCCATGTCCTTTCCAACTCTGTTTCAGTGACTCATGCCAGGTAACAAAAACAGACTTCTGGCCATGGAGTAGCTTGTAGTAGACAACACCTGCTGAGGACTCAAAGAACTGGCCATAATTCAGAAGGCATCAGCTTGGAGGTCCGTCACTCCAGCAGCCATGACTTAGAAGGGAGCTTGAGGAGGTGAGCCCTTCTTCCTGTACTGGCTTTTCTCTTAGGGGTTGGGCACAGGTGGCTGCTAAGAGGCAGAGTAGCCAGAGGAGTGGTACACAGTTTCACAGAGCTGGGGAGACTGAGCTGGGGGTTTGGGCTTACTGAAGCATCAGGACTTGAGGGCCAAGATTCCTGAGAGGAAGGAGGCCAGAGAAATGAGTTGACACTCAGCAATAGTTTCCTCTTGAGACATTTGCTGATGAAGCTGCTCAGGCAAGAGAAGCAAAGTGGCCGAAAAGCAGAGCAGGGTTTTTTGCAGTTTCATGATGCTAGGGAAGAGTTCAGAGCCTGTCAAGGAGGAATGGCCCTAAGAAATACCCCAGGATCTTGGCTGGCACCCTTGGGGGGCACTATGGGAGAGGGGGCAAGCCACAGATAGATTGGATTTTACAGGGACTGCAGATGAGCTCAGCTTCAGCTGAGGCCCCAGCTGGCCTGTGTGGCTGCCCCTCTGCTGCTCACCCTGGAGGCCGACACCATCCTGACTCTCTGCCATTCTGTCATACACAGTGCTTGATACTCAGGTTACAAGGCATACTGAGAAACAGGACTAGGGGAAAAGGTGATAGAACCACCAGTGATTAAGATATCAGAGTTATCAGACATGGACTTCAAAATAACTGGTTAATTTATTAAAGAAAATAGATAGAATGGAGAGTTCACAGAGAATTGGAATAAAAAGTTAAATGAAAATTCTAAAACAGAAAAGTTTGACAACTGAAATTTTAAATTCAGTAGGTGGATTTAACAGCAGTTAGAGACAGCTGAAGAGAGGATTAGTGAACTGGAAGATAGATCAATAGCAAACATTCTTGCAAACACCAGTGCAACCAGCTTGCATTATCTGGTGAGCTTTCTTGCCCTTGACCCTCAGGGCCCTGCTTGCCCCTTCTGTAGATCATCAGCCTTGGATGAGGGAGGGGATGATGGTGAGAATGCTTTTTGTTCTTGGGAAGAGACTGAAAGGACTTGGGAATTTGGAGAATGTTTTCCACTGCATCCTTGTTGGAAACATTGCTAGCACATTGGGAGTCTAGTCAGTCGAGTTCTGTGACTGATGAAATCTTAAGGGCCTTAGGTTCATCATCAGGGACACGAGTGTGTTTGTACTCATGGGCTCAAGCTAAAGGTGTGCTAACTTCTCCAACACACAACTTAGAAAATACCTTTTCATTTGCTTCTCTCCCGAATGCAGAGTACAGAAAAGGAACATTTGAGGGCAAGGGGTTGGGGAACCAGTGGAGGCTTGTTGGATTTGCAAAGGGGATGCATACGTTGTTGTTCAGGCTTCACGTTCTGTGGAATTCAAGTGCTGCCTGTTCTACTGACACAACGGGCATGGGCATGGCTGGAGGTGAGGAACCAGGGGCTGGCACTGCTGCTGAGTGCGACTGTGAAGCTGTTTGGATTGTAGCAATTCAGATGTCTGTTCTGAGAAATTTTCCATCCTGGGTTAATGATTTCTTTATGATGAGCAGAAATAAATTCATGAGGGATGGTAAGCTGTGGCTGGGTCCTGGGCCAAGGCCAGTGTGCTGAATTGAGAGATAACTGCTTATCCTCAGAGACTGACATGGATTAAAAAAGCAATATCACAGCAGACACCAGCCCTTTATCTGTAATAAAGAATAGAATCCCCTTTGTTCTCTAAAACATTATCTGTGGAGTTAGCAGACATGTATCCTGACTTTTGGGAGGACGAGGAATCCCAAGTAGAGCCTGGCTGAAGGGAGGCATGCCCATGAGGCCACAACAGCGATAGGCTCCTGAGAGCTTCTGGTCAGCTCCAGCCAAGTGCCCAGAGGCCACCTGGATGCCCCGCAGTCCCTGTGCTTTAGGACAGGAGGCTCTGCTGTGTTTTCTCAGGAGAGTTTGTGAAGAAGGGAAGTTCATGCAGCCAGGAAAGCCACCCAGGAAGATGGAGAACAGGAGATGAGCATGTAGTGCTGTCATGTTCAGCTTTTGTCTGGAGGGCCTCCTGTGTTCCAGGCACTGTTTTAGGCATGGGGCAGTTTCATGGACAAGATGGGCGAGGTCTCTGTTCCCGTGGGGCTTGTGTTCCAGTCCAGAGGTGAGCCTTAAACAAGTATAAACAAGTAAGAGCAAATACATTAAAACAAAGAAAGTGATAAGGGTCATGAAAATGACACTTGTGAATGGGAGGAGAATGACCTTCCTGAGGTGACATTTGAGTGGAAATGGGAATGACAAGGTGGCACAGGCCCTCCAGACAGGGCAGAGGCCCCAAGCTAGAATCGCACAGGTCTCGGTAGGCACCAGCTTTCATCTCAAGGACAATGAGAAACTGATGGCAGATTTTAAGCAGGGGAATCATGTGATCTGATTACATGGTCACAAGATGTGCTGGGTGACCATTGGCAGGCTTTGTGTGTGTTCAGGGGCAGACCAGTGTGGCGGCTGCAGAACCAGGGGAGAGTGCAGACTCCAGATGCATTTGGGGCAGGGTTAAGGGAAGGGGGACCCAGATGAGTATTGAGTATCTGAGCATCTGGATGGAGGCAGAGCCATAATGGGGGTGTAACTAGGGACTCAGTCTGAAGTCTGCTTCTGCCGCAGCAAGTTTAAAAAGCCCATTGGAGCCAAATGGAAGTGTCCCAGCTGCAATTAGAATCAGGGACAAAGCCTCACCTCGGAGGAAAGTCTATTTCCTGAGCAGGTGGAAGACCGCAGACCTGCAGGACTTGAGAGCTGATCATTGTCTATCAACCCACAATTTCTGACAACTCGAATCCTTCTTTTTTACCTTCCACATCAAATTTGCCACCAATTCCTGTCTTAAGGCCACAGCTCTCTCCCTACCTTGTCATCCCTTCTGCTCCTCGTGGATACCAGTGGCTCTAACATGCAAACTTGGGCAGTTAAAGTATTTTGAGTTTTCATTTTTAATATTTTTTGTTACTTCATTTTTGGATGATGCATTGTATATTCAGTTATGTGGCTTGCAAATTTTTTCATTTATGGAATGTCAAAATTTTGAAACTAGTATAATGAACCTTCATGTACCCATGACCCAGCTTCAGGGCCAACATTTTAAAGCAAATCCCAGACATCATATCATTTCATCCTTAAATATTTTGGTATGACACTGAAATCTAAGGTTCATTCAAAGCATAACCATAATATCATTATCAAACCTAAAACTCTAATAATTTAATTAGATACCAGAATAGTGTTCTAATTTCCCTGTCCTCATAAATGATTTGTTTGTTAAGCAAAGGTTTGCTTAAATGATTAAAGAATTTATCGTTTCATAGAATCCTAATGAGAATCGCATATTGCATTTAGCAATATATCTCATTTCTTTTTAATCTGTAAGTTTCTCCTCTGTCTTTTCTTTTTTTTTCCTTTTTGAAATTTATTGGTGAGACCATCCTTTGTCCTGTAGCTTCCCATAGTCTGGATTATACTGTGTCCCCATAATGCTGGTGACTGTGAGATTTAGATCTAGAGGTTTGATCAGATTCAAGATGATCTTGGCAAGCTTCTTCATAAGTGCTGTTGTGTTCTTTGACCTGGAGGCTGGTTGTTTTTTGTGAGTTAGTAGCCATTGATGACCAGTGCTTATGTTAAGGGTTGCAAATTGCAGTCTCAAATTCTAGCAGTCTTTCCTCATTGCTTGAGTGGAATACATAGTGAAATTTCCTCTCAGCAATACCATTTACACAGGAAAGACAGGATAGGTTCTTAATTCTTTAATTTTGCCAATTTGCGAAATAACAAATTGACTCCCTTGCAGCTCCCAAAGGTGACTGATGAATTTTTAATATTAGTATGAACTCATACATTTAAATACAATTGAGATGTTATTCTACTGCAATTATTCATTTCATTAGCAGTTTGTAGACTTGAAAATTTCTTTGTGACAGCATATTCAGTATGTTATAAATAATGAAGGCCAGAAAAGAAGATATATTAGTAACTCAGACAGACCCCTTTTGTTAGATTCAGAGGCTCTCAGACATTCTCAATTCAGACCATTCCTACTTAAGGCTCAATAATTATTTTGAGGGACTCCTAGGCCAAAAGGAACACCTAACAGTTATATTTGTAAGTCCAAACAACTTAGTATTTATGTCCTAGCAACTTATGACATTTTGAAAATGTCTATACATATAAATTTAAGTGTCTGCACACACACACATACACACACACACACTTACACTAAAAAAAATTTTTTTTCAATTCATTTTTAACTATACTCTCTCACAAATGGAATGTGTGTACCTGTCTGGTATTTCTTAAATCTTGGAATCAGATTGGATGCTTCCACCCTTTTTGCCTGTTTCACATTGATTTCACACAGTAATTGCTTTTTCAGTAATTGCTAGAAACCTAGCTTTGCAGGTACATGAAATCACGGATAGGGATGTAGCAAGATATAATACTGAAACTGTGAAGTATCTACGTCCTCCCCACTGGGCCACATAGTATGCAGCTAGTCACCCCAGTCTCCCACAGCTAGTTCTCATGGCACTCACTGTTGGATAATGCAGGACCATCTTCTCACCTCAAGATCCTTAAATCACATCTGCAAAGTCCTTTTTTTTTTTTTCCATATGAGTTAATATTCATGGGTTCCAAGAATTAGGACATGGATATCTTTTGGGGGTGGTGGGGAGCATGATTTACCCCACCATCCCATCGAAGGAGGCTCTGCACCATGTGGTAAGGGATGGGTCCCTCCCTGGGATAGAGGGTTTGCAGTGTGAAGGCGGGTGCAGGAATGTGGGGGCCTGGAGGTCTGGGAGCAAAGGTGGCTTGAGGGCAGCAATCGGGGACCAAGATCAAAGTCACAGAAGTGCAACAAATCAGGCCAGCTGATCATGAAGCAGGAGGATACGGAAGGGATTAAAAACAGTTCATTAGGTAAACCAACTTCACAGGACCACAACCTCCTAAAGTGATGAAAACAAGCTGATGGATGGCTCTGGCTGTCAGCACTAATACTAACCAGCTCGTGTCCCTTGATATGGTATCTGTAAGATGGAATCAGGTGACCTGATCCTCAAGCTGCCAGGAACCCAATCTCAGCCTTTTGAAAAGGTTTAAATGCTGTCTTTAGCCGTTTTCAATCCCTGAGGCTGGGACAGCTTCAAATATGTCAACATTCAGACCCCCAACCACCAAGCAAGACTATCAGCCTAGATTTCTTCTATGGGTTTCTTTCCTGGACACGCTTGCCAGACCTTTCCAGGGGAATATGTGAGCAAATCTAGGAGGCTCCTGGTCCAGCTTCTGGCCAGACACGTGACACTTACCACAGGTGGCATAGCTGTAGTTCACACCATGGGTGCCCCACCCCTCTAGTTCTCAGCACATGAGACACTGATGTCTGTCTGCCAGCACCCCTGTCCTCCCCTCAACCAGATACTGACCTTTCTGCTCTAGAAAGCTCCCAGCCACATTCCTTGCCTTCTTTCCTTGACCCATAAGAAGAAAGGTCCCAACTGCAACCCTATTACTACAGAGTGCCAAGCTCAGTCGCCATGTTGCCCGCCCTCAGAGTTGGACCTGCATGAGAGGCAGCACAACCTGGAGAAGAGCTGGGCCCAGACCAGGTTCATCCACAGCGAAGTCAACCTCTTTGAGCCACAGTATCTTCATCTATAAAAAGGGGACAAAACCATCACTGCTTTCCTCTTAGGTGTGTCTTAAGGATCAATAGATATAACATTATTCCACAGAAGAATCATTTAACATCTTAAAAATCCATCTATCCCAAAGAACAGTAACCCTCTGATATTTCTGTCACTCTCTTCCATTTGTATTAGTCAGCTGTTGCTGGGTAACAAGCAGTCCCAAAACTCAGTGCGTACAACAGTATGTATTTTTTCTCTTGCTCACAGGCCTGCATGTTAGCTGGGAGAGCTCTGCTCCCTGGGACTCTACTGGGGCCAAGCTAGAGGGGCTAGCTACTCAGGGCATGCTCTTCTAACGTGGTGGAAGGTAAAAAGTTCCATAGAGGTAAACAGAAGTACACGATGCCTCCAGAGATCTAGGCTTGGAATTTGCACATTGCCATTTCTTACATTCTCTTGTCCTAGCAAACAGCAAGGGCCAAGCCCATCACCAATAGTAGTGAGCCAGGGGGTGCACTCCTCCTGTGCTGGGTCCCACACTACAGACACAGAAGGGGTACCAGGCAAAAGAAGAAAGCCCGACACTTCTTGCATTTTTCAAAGT